ATAACATGCACGGGTTCCTGCGGATGAGGATCGTCCAGATCCTCACCGTCGTTCACCCGTCGCCGCACGTCATCTACCTGACGCGCCACGGCCAGTCCACGTACAATCAGCTCGGCAAGATCGGCGGCAACTCGCCCCTCTCGCCCGCCGGCGAGGAGTACGCGCGCCGGCTCGGCGCGTGGGTGATGCCGTACGTGTGCTACCAGCAGGCTGCCGGCCTCGACTCGCTCACAAAGACGCGCCTGTGGACCTCCTCGCTCCAGCGCACCATCCTCACCGCCCAGCACATCCCACACCCGATCATCAGCGAGGAGGACCTCGGCACTCCGTCCGTGCCGCCCGAACCCGACGCCGACGATGCCCTCGCCAACGGCGCCGCCCTCGCCGACCCGCGGCAGCTGTGAGTTGCGTCTCTCACACCGTCTGCTCTCAACAGGCGACTCGCCGACCCGCTGCAGCGCCGGCCGCAGCAGCGGCTTGCGCGGGACCCCGCCGCGCGCGAACGGGCTCCGAGAGCGGCTGCGCTCGGGCGGCCTCTCCGGCGTCGTCGGCGGCGTCGCGCTCGGAGGGATCGACTTGGACTCGGACCGCGGCGGCGGCGGCGACCGCGACCGCGTGTGGCAGCAGATGGCGCCGCGCGTGTACCGCAACCTCGACGAGATCTTCGCGGGCGAGTGCGAGGGGATGACGTACGAGGAGATCCAGCACAGCTTCCCGTCCGAGGCGAAGATGCGCGCCACCGACAAGATCGGCTTCCGCTACCCGCGCGGCGAGTCGTACCTCGACATCCTCGCGCGGCTCGACCCGCTCGTGCACGAGCTCGAGTCGTACCACGAGCCGCTGGTCATCGTCTCGCACCAGGCCGTGCTGCGGCTGCTTTACTGCTACCTGACCGGCCGGACGCGGGCGCAGGCGCCCAAGCTGTCGATGCCGCTGCACACGGTCATCCGAATCACCTACGACGGCTGGACGCCGCCCACTGAGGAGCGCTTCTACCTCGGGCCGGAGTGCTCACAGACGGACGGGCAGACGCACCTCTGAGAGTGGAGTGGCGTCGCCGCCCCCGACAGAGGCGCACCGGCGAGTACAGGTTGGTCGTGCGGTAGCGAACGTACGTCTACGTGTACTTCTTGAGGGGGAAGTCGAGGTTGATTGAGGCGAGGTCGTTGAGACTTTGGAGAGTGTTGAATGTATCGAGCTGCAGCTGGAGAGGGTGGTTCGGGATGTGTAGCCGTAGAGCCCATGTCTTATTGCTCCCGAGTGCCTGTGGTGTGTGCAGAGAAGGGGTCGCGTTCTCTGGGCCGGCGCGGGGCCCCCCGGAGGCACCGTGCGCCGCGCCGCAGTGCGGAAACGGGGCTCCGGCTCTATGAGTCAGTCTCTATGAGCACCGACTTCCCGAATGATCACGGTTGATCAGAGGGCAGATTTGGAGAGATCTCGAGGAGTACATACAGATAGACCCTCCAACCATCAGAAAACTCCGACCTGATCGGTCGTACTGACCGCCGACAGATCACTCCAGACAGCAGACAGGCCGACGTCTGCACGCGGCCGGCCGGGCGAGAGGCTTGACACGATCCGACCCTGCGACCCTGACGCTGCTGCTCTAGCTATCAGCCATGCACTGCTGACTGCTGCCACAATGTGCGACCTGTGCTGGCCCACTTGGCGGCCTTCCCGGTCAGTGGTGAGGCGCAGTTCAGAGCTGTCGATGGCGCGATGCCGCACTGGTCCCACATTGGTGACACGAGACCACCAAGTTTGCCGGTCCAAGAGAGAGGCGCCGGCGCTGTCCTGAGAAGGTGCGTGGTCCCTCTTGACTGCCCATGCGCGCGAGGCTGTGTAGGCATAGCCTCGAGAGTGCCAGCAGCCAATCCGAGGTGACGCGCATTGCGCCAAGGTGGTTGAGAGAGATTTTTAGAAGCCAACAAGAAATGTGTCACTCAGAGTGATTTGCGCTCGGTGGTTGTGCGTCCAATGTGGAAGTGGGGCCATTAAGAACATGCTATCTATTTTAGAGCTTAGCGTGACACGCTTATCCAAACTTAGCGTGACACGCTTATCCAAACTTAGCGTGACACGCCCGAGAGCGCAATCTCCCCAGGGTTCATAGTGATCCCCTACCACCCGTGAAAGGCGAACCCAAACTGGACGACCCCTAGGTGCATCCCCGGCTCGGGGTGCGCTCGTCTGTTGCGGCGGCTGCCCCCCCTCGCCGCCAAGTGGGTTATTTGTTCTCGCGCCGCGTCTGCGCTTAGCGCACACGTTTGTACAGACCTATGCGCCTCTCCCTCGAGGTGCTGCCGACCAAGCTGCTGGGCAGCGGGACGAGCAGTCTGACGACGAGCCTGCTCGCGCTCGTGCCTCGAGGGACGCGCGTGTACCTACCTAGCCTCCCGGGCGATGCACCAGCGGCGATGGGCGCTGCTCTCGCTCACTTGCACGCCTCGGCGCCGCACGTCGAGCCTGTTCCACACATCGCGGCGTCGCGCGTGCCAAGCGAGGCCGAGCTGCTCCGCAGGCTCGACTCGTGGCAGGAGGCCTGCTCCAACCAGCTCTCCGAGGCGCATGGCAAGCGCTGCCCTCAGCCTGTCTGTGTGCGCGTTAGCCGCCGCTCTCGCCTTGCAGGTGCTCGTGGTGCGAGGCGACGAAGGCGCGCACGACACCGCCGCGCATGGGAATCCGGCCTCGCCCCGCCCCTCGGGCGGCCCGTTCGCGACGACGCTCGACCTGCTCGAGAGCGGCGCGCTCGCCCGACGTGGCGTTGAGACGGTTGGGCTGTGCGGACATCCAGAGGGGATCGGTGCCACCGTGAGCACGGGCGAAGGGATTGTGCACCTTAAAGGCAAGACGGCCGCCCTCCGCCGCGCCGGGCAGCAGCCCCGGATCGTCACGCAGATCTGCTTTGACGCCGAGCGTGCCACAGGCTTTGTGGACGCACTGCGGGCCGCCGAGGAGGAGGCGCCGGTCAGCCTCGGGCTGGTCGGGCCCGCCAAGGCGCAGCTGCTGCAGCGGATGGCGTTGCAGTGCGGGGTCCGTCCTCCACCGCCGGCGACGGAGCCGTCGGAGCTCCTCGAGCGCGTGGCAGTGTGGCAGCGCTTGAGGGGGCAGCGGCACGGCGCAGAGGCAATCCACATCTACCCGTTTGGTGGCCTCCGCACGACGCTGCAGTGGCTCCTCAGGGTCGAAGGCGAGGGTGTCATCGGCCTCGCACCGCCGCTCGAGGCGGGAGCCAAACTGTGGGCGGGTCACGAATGATGTACGAGTAGTATCTACGCGTAAAAAAACGGACACCCGGCGGGTCCGACCCGGCGACTAGCCGGGGTCGTCCTCCCGTAGTCGATAGCGGTCCCGCCATAGCTCCCGCATAGCCCTGCCCTAGCGAAAATTTTTCACAATATCGCAACCGCGATACCGCGCGATATTTGGCGGCGATAAAATGCGATAAATGGCGATGTTGTGCGATGCTCGCGGTCACACGCGAGCCCTTCACGCGCGGCGCCGATGGCAGTCCTGGGCGCCGAAAGTGCGAGAAAGGTGCGGGTGCGGGCGGCGGGAAGCGCGACCGCAGCATGCGCCGGAAAACAAAGAAATGCTCGCCCGTCACCGTCACCGCCGCCGGGGCGAGGGTGCGCGATAGTGCGCGATATTGCGCGATATTGCGCGATATTGCGCGATATTAGGCGATACTCGGCGATCATTCACGATATACAGAAAATTTCCGCTAGAGCAGGGATTACTTATTGCAATACAGCTGTCTGCAGGTCTGCACAGAGAGCCAGCACCCCCCACAGGCAGAGCTCTGCTGCTAGGGGGGGGGGGGTCTGACCCCCCCAGCAGCAGAGCGCTGCTGCGGGGGGGGGGGGGGGTCCCCACCCCCCCAACAACAAAACGCTTCTTCTGGGGGGGGGGGGGGGGGGGCCCCCCCTGGCTTATGTGGGCCGGGGGGGGACCCAAAAAATTTGGGGCCCCCCCCACCTAATCCCCCGGTTTAAAGGAAAAAATACCGTGGGGGGGGGCCACCCCCCCCCCCCCCAAAAAAACCCCCCAACAAAGGGTTTTTTTTTTTTTCCCAAAGGGGTTTTTTCCAAAAAACACACCCGGGCCCCCCCGGGGGGTGCAGAACACACCGGGGGCCACAAGGGGGGGGGGCCCCCACAAAAATTTTCCCCCCGGTCGAACCCTTTACCTCAGCCCGTTACATATCATCTCACGACCAGAGGACAGAGCTCCAAAGAGTTTTTCACTTGTCTCACGCGTGTCCGTGTGGTAGTCCAGTGTGTGGCGCTTGGAGCCGGTTCGGCGAACTTGGATATCGCGTTCGCGAGAGGACCGAGGAGTGCGCGATGACCGATGTGTGGCAAGCGCCCACTGAGCTCTCGGCAGCTCAAGGGCCCACGCCCTTCCCGAGCAGAATCGCACCGAGCCTTTCCTCAAGAGCTAGGGACGGCCGCGATGCATCCACGATGATGTGGTCCGGAAAAGCAGCAAGCAGTTGCGCCTTGCTTGCCCGCCATGACTGCAGGCTTGCCAACACCTGCGCCTCGGCTCGGCTCGGGTGCTGCACGAGGCGCTCCAGCACAGCAGGGTCTGTTGGCCACGCCACTTGGTCAGGGTGGTACTCTGTCCCTGTCACTGGGTCAACCCGTGAGGCGATCAGCGCGTGCGCCGCCGCCGCCTCATCAATGTCGAGCAGCAACGTAGATCTCACCCAGATGCCTGCCCGCTCGAGAAACTCGCACTGTGCCTCGTTGTTGGGAAAGCCGGTCAAGAGAAAGCCCCGCCGGCGCACGTCGTCGCTTCGGAGGCGATCCACGACTAGCGGTCCGAGGCACTCGCTGGGGACCTCCGACACATTGGCCGCCATGTAGGGGAGCAGCGCTCGGCTGGCGGCTGTCCCACGGCTGGCTGCCGCCTGCAGCAGTAGCGAGGCGGAGACGTGGACGGTCCCGTACCGCCGTGCGGCGGCCGCCGCCACCTCCTCCGCGCCCGAAGCCGGGCCTCCGAGCAGGAGCAAACGAGGTATCCCCTTTGGGGCTTTCGAGGCCTGTGCGGTGTCCTTCGGCGGGGCGCTGACAAGGTCGATGAGGTGCGCAATGGGATCGTCGGGCTTTGTCACAATAAGACTCTGAAGCAGGCCTTCGAAGAGCTGGAACACGCCATGCTTCTCGGCGTAGGCTGCTGTGACCTCCATTCTGGCGGCGGCCGATGAAACCGGCCTGAAACGTCCCGTGAGCTATGAGCGACTGTGTGTACTTGTTGTGTGAAAACCCGCTGGGACCCGGACGCCAGCACAAACGGCTAGATTTCATGGCGGGCCGCCTAGGCCCTGGGGTCGGAGGTAGAGTCGGTGCACGGTGGTGGTGGTGCCGCGCGCGGTGCGCTGCGGGCTTCGCTGCCGGGGGCGTTCAGGGCGGGGTCGGGGAAGGGGGGTGGGGTCGGTCGCGTCGCCTGCGGCGCGCTCTTGCGCTCCTCGTACCTCGAGCGCAATCCATAAGTAGGAGACGCTCACTGTCGCCATTCAGGCGCCTGATCTTTCAGCAAAGCGATGGCCTACCAGGTACGAGTTCAGATGCGCGCCCGGCAGAAGACGCTTGTGCTGTGATGCCGCATGCAGGAATGCGCACAGAGAACGGACGGCAAGAGAAGGCAAGGGAAGGAAGAGAAACGGCTGGTGAAGCTCAGCTCACGGCGTAGTATTGCGGTCACTAACCATCCACGGCAAGAGTCACGGTGAATGCTGCCGCATAAAAGCAACAGAGTCGCGGTTGGCGCGATGGTCTTGTCGCGGTTACCGACTTGACGTTGCACACGGCCATAGACGCAGGATCTGTTTGGCGAGCCTCAAGCAGCGAAAGCAGGCGCGAGGAGGAATAATGTCAATCCTGAGATCTCAATTTTGGCGCTAGTTTCGTTTCCTGGTACATCACGACGACTTGGGTCTCATGTAGCTCGACAGCTCTTCGACGGCTCTTTCTGGTTGGATCAGACAGTGCTCTCAGTCAACAACACAATGCCGAGAGCAGGGCGGCCTTCGAGCAGGCGGCCTTCGAGGCAACTAAGTTCCTGCTGCATTTTGCCACTCAACGTACAACTTGATGGCGGGCGGACGTGTCGAGCACGGATCGAGAGCATGGAAGGCGACCATTGCTCAAACCTGTTCGAGTTGGCCTCCGGGAACAAGGGTGCGTGGCCGGCGCGGTCTGTTTCACGTGCAATAAGGGCAACGCCATCAAAATCGCGCGAACATGGGCCGACTCGCATGCCTCCGACATTTCTCAGGGCCCGGGGACGGAAGCTCTGCAGACAGCCAGACCGCCCTGCGCGCACATTAGTGTGCGGTCGGACCGACTTTTTCAGACTTTACTATTCTGGATACTGAGGGTATGTGCTGAGGGAGGGTGTAAAGGATGTAGAGTGTAGAGCGCTGTAGAGCTGTAGAGATGTAGAGCGCTCTGGAGCGCTGTAGAGCTGTAGAGCTCTACATCCGCCGCGGGACGAGGCGCCTGCGTTGTAGAGCGATGTAGAGCGCGATTTTGTTGTAGAGTTTGTTGTAGAGGCTCTACAGCCAAACCGCCGGGAAGGCAGTGACTCAAAGAGGTCGAGCCGCGCTAATGGGGTGTCTCCGAGCTTAGTGAAGCTCTGATGGACAGCCCTGACTATCCCTGACACACAGAGAGTCCCTCTGACGGCACACAACACCCTATAACTGCGTCATGACCAGCCTGCCATGTGTCGCCGGTGCCGCATTCGTCGCTGTGCTTCTTTAGCAGGCGGTGGACTGTCGGCTGCGAGGACGGTCGCATTTGCGCGAGGCGAGGCGAGCATTCAGACGCGTTGCATGCGCCATGACTCGCGCCAGCGCGTGCGGGAGCTCCTGGCTGAGCGTTGAGTCCAGGCGAGTTGTGCTGGCCACTATCGCTACGCCGAGCCGAGCTGACGCGCCGAGGCGCCGGCCAGTCGCAGCCGCGAGGCATGCCATAGCAGCAGAGGCACCTGCCACCCATTGGGCGGGTAGACAGAAGGCCAGGGCAGCACTGGCAAGTGCAACGCGCCTCATGTCGGAGAGCGACCGTGCCTCGTTCGCCGCTTATGATGTAGAGTTTGTTGTAGAGATTTCACGTTGTAGAGCGCCTCTACATCGCTCTACAACGCAGGCGCCTCGTCCCGCGGCGGATGTAGAGCTCTACAGCTCTACAGAGCTCTACAGCGCTCTACATCTCTACAGCTCTACAGCGCTCTACACTCTACATCCTCTACACCCTCCCTCACAGGGGTATGTGCTGCTAGATCTCACTGAGCTGAGCTCGTATCTGCCTTTGGTAAGCAGTTTTGAGTTCGGTAATGTCTCCGGAGACGGAGGGCCGCGTCCGCGGACGACCATGACGTCGGCCGGGGGTCCCCCCCGCGCGGGGGCCTTCGATGGCTGTCTGTCAGCGCTCCTCCTCCGGGCTTTGCATCACACCTCCCATTCACGGTGCGTCAAATGCAGCATCCAGGCGTCTAAAGAAGACGACATGAATGGTTCACAGAGAATGTGTTCAGACCTTTGCGCGGGTGTGTGTGTGGACAGCCATTCCGCGTGGTTGAGGGGTTGAAGGGGTCTGTCAACCCCTTGGTTGAGGGTTGAGGCCTCTGTCAACCACGTGGTTGACAGTTGAGGCAATCGGCCTCAACCACCGCTCTGGGCCGAGACGATCGGAGGGGTCCCGTACCATGCGGAATCGACCCTTTACTCATGGTCAAGGCGAAAAGAAAGCAGCACGGTCGCCCGGCACTTTCGGTCGCCACCGGGTAGCTTGTCTCTCCGGCCAGTTCAGCTCCCTTTCCACCGAGCCACGTCATGACCCGCCTCGTCGCCGGCGTTCTCACCGCGGGTGGAATTATTCCATTTGCTGTGCTTAGTCGCCCAGGGCAGCAGCGGCTCGAGCATGAGCAGTGGCTCGCTCCGCTTCGGAGAGCGCTGGGCAGACCCTCGCTGAACGCCACAGAGATACAGGTCACGTACGGCTGCGTCATCCTCAGTTTTGTGGGCGCGCCGCACTGGGGCTTCGCGCTCAGTGGCTTCCTCTCCAGCTCGATGGCAGCAACCTCCGCGAGACTGACTTGGGGAGTCATTCCGTCGCTTCTCGCCTGGCCTTGCGCCTCCTGCCCATCGCCACTCTCCCTCGATGCGCTCTCCGCTGGCCTCGCGGCCGCCTTCTGCGTCGATGGCATTTTCGCGGCGTGCAAGCTCGTCCCGCGTGGGTACCTGTGGCTGCGCGCGCCCCCTACAATTGCTGCGGTGCTCTCCCTCCAAAGCCACCACCGCCTACGTCAAGCTACCGGCGCCGAGGGGACTCACTAGAACCCACACATATCTCGAGTCTCCGGTCCGGCGGCTTGCCTAAAGCGTTGGGGCGGTGTGTGACTGCGCTGGCTCGTGATTTCCGAGTGATTGCAGAGAGAGACTCAAGAGGGACTGCACCGCGGCCCGCGCGGCCGCGCGGCACGCCGGTCGAGCTGTGCGGCTTGTCGTGGTACTTGAACTTGTGCAATGACCAATGTGGACCCTGCACCGTACCCTGTGGGTACCAGGGTACGTATTTAGTCACATGCAACGCTGTACATCCAGTACATCACGACACACACTGCGGACTCTGCGAGTTGTCGGTTACTTATCTCCCCAAGGGCGTTCCGGCCGGCACATCCGGGATACCCGGTATCCGCGGCCTCTAGCTCTACCTCCCCCGCCCCCCTCTTACTAGCTCTACCGCGCGCGGAGAGACCCCCCGACGCCCGAGTGAGAGTGCCCCCCCCCCAGACGCCCAGGCCCCAGCATCCGCACTGCATGCACATGCACATGCACATGTGCATGCACATGTGCTTGGGCCCTCTTTGCCCCCCGCGGGTCCCCCGCAGCCCGCCCCGCCTCCCTTCTCCGACCGGCGAGGAGGCTACGGCTGCCCCCCCATCACGGCCGGGGACCGAGGCGGCGCCGCCGAGCTGCCCCTCCGCAGTGGCGCGCCACTGGGTCCGACCGCGCGCTTCGACCCCAAGCTGCGGACACACGCCCCGACACAAGGCGGCTGGTCCAAAGGCTAGGAGCAGAGTGCGGTCGACAGCTGCCGCAAGTCCGAAAGCGAGACTGTGCGGATAGCCTCGTGGTGGCGGGGAGCGCCGCCGCCGCACCCGCCCTTGGCCATGAGGGCGCCGCCGTCGCGCGCGCCGCCCAGCCCGCCCAGAACCCGCTTGAGCCGCGCAGCCTTGTCCATCACCGCGTGCACGCCTTGCGCAGCGGCGGGGGGCGGGGGGCGGGGGGCGAGGTTGCGGGGTGGGGTGGGCGTGGGCGCTGTGGCAGCGGGTGTGCGAGGAGGGCCGCTGGCGATGATGCGGGGAGGCGCGGCGGGGAGGCGCGGCGGGGCGCGGCGGGGGAGGCGCGCGCCCTCCGCCCTCGACAGCCCCGACAGCTGCTCGAAGCTTGGCCGCTGCGACTCCCACGCGAGCTCTAATCTCCGCAGCGCCGCAATCTTGCGCCGCAGCTCGCGCTTGGCGGCGACGCGCTGCTGAAGCTGCTCCCACAGCTGCGCCGCCTCCGCCTCCTCCTCGTCCGCGCCGGCCGCCCCGCCGGACGACGCCTGCGCGCACGAGCCTCGGATCAGGCTCGAGGCATGCTTCGGCAGGCGGCGGGCGGCGGCGCCACCGCCATCAGGCCGTCGGGGACGTGAAAGCTCTGCTCGAGCGCGCTGGCCTCGAAGCGATCGAAGCTCACGTCCGCTGCCCGCTGCACCTTGAGCAGCCAGCGGTCGACGCCCTGGACGGGAGGGGAGGGGGAGGGGTCAAGTAGCCGCGCTGCGCCACCGAGGCGGTCTGGGCCAAGCCTGCTCAATGTCCTGGTGATTCTCGGCCAGCTCGGGGAGCTTCTTGAGCGCAGCTTTGAGCGCATCGCCCGTGTCGCAGACATCTGCGCGTCGAGGGGTCCAGCCGTGGCTGAGGAGGCAGGCCTCCGCGGTGCGGCGGGCAGATGAGCGGCGCAGGCGCTGGGGAGGGCGCACAGTCGTTGAAAGCGTTGGTCATGTCGGCGACGGCGGCCCTCGGATCAAGCCCTTCGATGGTCGACATTGGTGGGTCGCGTGGGCGCGTGCTGTTGCTTGCGGCCAGGGCGGTTGGCTTTTTAAGCGCCCCTTTCACCGCGTAAAAAAGAAATTGCCGGGCAAAGAAAACTACGGTTTCAGCCTGCCAGACGGTTGAAATTCTTGCTTGCATGGCCACTTTCGGCGGTGCGGACTGATGCGGTCCGCTGCGACGGACTGCTGCGGTCCGCTGCGACGGACTGACTGCGGTCCACTGCGGCCAACCCGCGAGCCGCTCCCGGCTCCGCCCCTCGCCCAACCCCCACCCGCGCCTGCGCCTGCCACCCGCGCCACCTCCCCCACGCGCACCCGCGACGCCAGCCGCCCGCCGCCCACCGCACCGCCGACTCGCCCGCCGCCTCGCCCGGCCCTCGCGCCCGCTCGCTCAACGCGGGGTCAGGAAAAGGTGAGAGAGGGCGGCCGTGTAGCGGGAGCGCACCTCCTCGACGATCGTCTCGCCGAACTTGGAGTCCTTGAGCTTCTTGGACGCCTTGCCCGGCGTCTGGTTGCCGCCCGGCGTCTCCGCCATTTTGCCCTGTGTGGACAGAGGTGCGTGGGGCGATTCAGGAGTGCCTGGGACGGCGGTGCAGTATGGGGGCTGCAGGGCTGAGGGAGGGTGTAGAGGATGTAGAGTGTAGAGCGCTGTAGAGCTGTAGATAGAGATGTAGAGCGCTCTGGAGCGCTGTAGAGCTCTACATCCGGCGCGGGACAGAGCGATGCAGATGTAGAGCGATGTAGAGGCGCTCTACAACGTGAAATCTCTACAACAAACTCTACATCATAGCGGCGAATGAGGCACGGTCGCTCTCCGACATGAGGCGCGTTGCACTTGCCAGTGCGGCCCTGGCCTTCCGTCTGCCCGCTCAATGGGTGGCAGGTGCCTCTGCTGCTGTGGCATGCCTCACGGCTGCGACTGGCCGGCGCCTCGGCGCGTCAGCTCGGCTTGGCGTAGCGATCGTGGCCAGCGCAACTCGCCTGGACTCAACGCTCAGCCTGGAGCTCCCGCACGCGCTGGCGCGAGTCATGGCGCATGCAACGCGCCTGAATGCTCGCCTCGCCTCGCGCAAATGCGACCGTCCTCGCAGCCGACAGTCCACCGCCTGCTAAAGAAGCACAGCGACGAATGCGGCACCGGCGACGCAAGGCAGGCTGGTCATGACGCAGTTATAGGGTGTTGTGTGCCGTCAGAGGGACTCTCTGTGTGTCAGGGGTAGTCAGGGCCGTCCATCGGAGCTCCAGTAAGCTCGGAGACACCCCATTAGCGCGGCTCGACCTCTTTGAGTCACTGCCTCCTCCCCGGCGGTTTTGCTGTAGAGCCTCTACAACCAACTCTACAGCAAAATCGCGCTCTACAGTGCTCTACATCTGCATCGCTCTGTCCCGCGCCGGATGTAGAGCTCTACAGCTCTACAGCGCTCCACAGCTCTACAGCTCTACAGCGCTCTACACTCTACATCCTCTACACCCTCCCTCAGCTGCACAGGGCTGCTCACGAAGTACGCGCGTCCCTTCTGCGGGGTGCTTGCCATGGTGCTGCGGTGCCGAGCGGGGAGAGCGGAGGGTCCGATGCGCTAGATGAATCGAGTTGAGACCGGCGGGCGGGGACACGAATGGGAGAGCTGAACGTTTCCGCAGGCGAAAGGTCAAAGGACAAGACGTGCTTTTAAATTGCGGGTCGCGGGAAAAAGAAAACGAAATGCAAAAACCGAGGTGGTTTCAGCCTGCCAGACGGTTGGTGTGTCCGTCACGAGCGCTCGTAGCCTGCCCGTGGGCCACGGCCCTGCCCCAGCCCTCCCCAAGCAGAGTGTCAAGAGCGCCCGCGAAGCGCCCGCCGTACAAGCTTGCGGCCGCCTTTCTCTCATACATGGCGAGGCTCCGGCTCTGGTGCCTCGCTGCCTGGGCCACCAGCGCGGCCGGACGCAGCTGCCACAAGCCCAGCTGCTACTGCGACGACACTTGCATCTTTAGCGGCGATGGACAGTGTGACGATTCCGGCCCAGGCGCGTCGCGCTCTCGCACTCACGTCACGACTCGCCGTGCAAACCCCGTGCTGACTGGCAGCGATCGGCCACCAGCTTCATCCCTTCCACCCTCTCGATCCATCTGGCGACCACACTGCATCCACTTGGCCCCCTCCCTCTCCGCGGCGGCACACTGAAGCCGCAAGCCAAAGCGGCGCCGCACCGCGGGGCTTTGCATGTACACCCCACCTTCACGAGCCCTGCGGCGCCCCACAGGCTCCGTCGATGGTCGGTGCCGGCTTGGAACGGACTGCGCGGATTGCGGCGAGCGGCACGAGCGGGACGTAGGCGCCTTCCTCTGCAGCACGTCCTGCACAGGTGGGCTCAAGGGCCAGTGCGATGACGGCGGGCCTGGTGTGCAGCCCACACTCAAGCCCGCAGCGCGGCATCGCACGCAATCCCGTCCCGAGACGCTATGCGCCGTCCCGTCCTAGGCTCGAGGACCACGGACTGTGCCTTTGGCAGCGACTGCGACGACTGCGGCGTCCGCTTTGCCGAGAACGACGATTGCGACGATGGCGTCATCACCCTCTGCCGGGACGACCACGCCAATTGCGCGTTTGTGCTAGACGGCCACTGCGACGACGGAGGGCCAGGCGCGCGCAAAATCTGACGCAGCCCTGCCCGCACCGCGGGCGCCCACGGCCGAGCTGAGCACGGCACGGTCCTCTCGCGCGGCCCGCAGGTGCGCAATACTCGCAGTGTGCCTTTGCGAGCGACTGCGGCGACTGCGGCAAGCGACAGCGGCCGTGCAAAGATCCGCACCCTGAGGATGCGCTCGAGGATGAGGAGGGGTACTACGATGACGTGGCCGTGACCACCTCCACCGCCTTCCACGCCTCGGCCGGCTGCCACGGCGCGGGCGAGGCGCGGTGTGAGCCCTCCTGCAACCTGCTGCACGGCGGGATCGGCCAGTGCAGCTCGTGCGCGTGCTCGCGCTGCGCCTACTGCGTGCCTCCCGAGTTTGCGCTGCGCCACCCGCCGCCGCCCTCCAGCCGCGCGCCCCTCGCCGCCTCCCGTTTCTCGTGTGACATGCTCGAGGCGCGTCACAACCTCCTCGCGCGTGAGGCGCCGCTGCACTGCTACTCGCTGCAATCGTCGGCCCAGTGCGAGCTCGCCTTCACGTACGACGCACAGGCCGCCCAGATTCCCCTCAGCGTCTGCCACTGGGTGGACAGCCGCTGCTCGCCGCTCCACGCCAGCCCCTCCCAGCTGCACCAGCCCCTCTGCCAGCAGTGGCTCCATCGGAAGCCGGCGCCGCCGCCGCCGCCGGGGATCGCGCCAGCCCAAACCTCCCCGTCTGGGCCGATCGCAAAGCCCCCTCCACCGCCAGCGCCGCCCAGCCCTCCCTCTCCTCCGCCGCCATGCGTGCCGCCCTCGGGGCAGTGCGGCGGCCTCGGCTACGCCGGCCTCAGCACCTGCTGCTCCACTGCCGCGCACCCTGCCTCGTGCTTTGCGCTCGACGAGTTCTCCCACCACTGCCGGCCCGCGTGCGACGATCCCTCGTGGGCGTGCTTCCCCAAGAGTGAGCTGCCGTCGCCTGCTGTTCCAACCATCACGCGGACCCCCCCACCGCCACCAGCCCGGGATCCGCCGCCGCCGCCGCCGCCGCCGCCCGCAAGGTCTCCGGAGCTCATCACGCCGCCCAAGTCGCTATCGCAGCGGCCTGATCAGGCCAAGACTCCCCATCGTGCCCGCCAAACGTCCAACATGCTGAGCGCTATGGTTGCGCTTCCCTTTTTCGTCATCGCGGCGCTGGCAGCAGCGGCCACTCGGTGGTATTGCCAGCAGAGCAAACCAAAGGCTCGCTTATCGACGCGAGCAATCGAAAAGACTCCCCTTTCATCTCGGGCGGTCGAGGGTGGCGACCCTGAGGAGGATGCGGAGTCTGTTGTTGAGATGGTTTCGGCGAGGGCGGCCCTCATTGATGCTGGGCAGAGGTACTAGCGGAGCATCAGCGGCTCAGAGGATTTGGGCCCGGCGGGTGCTGACAGGACACCCGGGTTGAGAGGAGAGGCGCACTGAGAGTCCGAGAGAGAGGAGAGTGAGGGCGCCTGAGGGGGTCACGATCACGACGTGCAAGATGACCGTCGACGACGATGGTCGGAGTGCGCGGGAGCGTGTGCTCGAGGCGTGTGACAGCAGTGTCCACACAGTCGACCCCGCCGTCTCACGATTTGCATACAGCATAGTCCATAGATTTGGGGGGACCCGTGAGCCGTGTGCTCTGGCCTCTGCGTTCCTGCCGTCTTACCCGTACACAGATATGTGTGCAAAATCATTTTAAGTTTCGCGAGCCGAGCCGGCAGAGACGCGACTCAGCGGCGACTGCGACTCCGAGCGCCTAGGATCACGCGCTCTCTCGTCGTTCACTGCGACGGGCACGCTCACAGCGAACCACGGCGGGACACATAGACCGCGGCCGTGACCGCCGCTCCCGCCGCCACCCCTCCCCGTCTCTGACCACACAGCCGGCCATGTTAACGCGGCAGCGCGGGCGGCCCAGCTCGCTTCCCACGTGGCCGACGCGCGGTCGAGCCAGTGTCATACCTCCCTACACACAGCCTCACCGGCAGCCGGACAGCGCGGTCGCCGCCTTGAGTCGCAACCTCAGATCGCTCACCTCTCGACTTAGCTCTGCGATGCGCGACTCCACAGCCAGCTTGCGCTTCCGCTCGGCGTTGCTCCTGCCCGCGCTGAGCGGCATCCGCTCGAGCTCGCACTGCAGGAGCCCCCGCTCCTGCGAGAGGGCCGTCAGCCGCCGCTCCATGCACGAGGAGGCGTCCCCGGGCCCCAGCCGCTCACCCGGCGATCCAAACGGCGCCGAGGCGCCGCCACGCTGCTCTGTGCGGGAGGGGAGACCGACAAGCGACCGCTCCTCTCCCGCCGGAGGCTCGCGCGGGCCCGCCGCCAAGGCAGCCTCCCCGGCGAGCGACCCCTCGGCAGGCGCCTCGCCCTGTGGCGGCGCCGAGCGTGTGCAAGCGTGGTGTGCGGGCGCCGCGGCACCCCCGGCCGAGGCGGAGGAGGGTCCGTTCTCCGGAGCAGGCGCTGCCGCCCGCCTGCGCTCCTCCTCCTCGCGCCTCTTCTCCTCCACGCGCCGCGCCCTCTCCCGCCGCTCCTCCTCCTCGCGCGCCCTCTCCCTCTCGCCACGCCTCCGCTCCTCCTCCCGCCTCTGCTCCTCGCGCCAGTGCTCGTCCCGCACCGCCTGCTCCCGCTGCCAGCTCATCTGCTCCTGCCGCAGGCGCGCCTGCGCAAGAGCCTCTCCTGCGGCCGCGCCTTGCCAACGCAGTGTCGCGTTCTCGCACAGCAGCGATCGCACCATCCTGCGGTCCTCGAGCTGGCTCTGCTCCACCTCGCGCAGCGCGGTCTGCAGCGCGCCCGTGCCGCAGCGGAGCGCCTCCCCGGACCGCACGGCCTCGTCCCTCTCCCGCTCCAGCGCCGCCAGCTGGCTCAGCAGAAGCGCCTCGCGGCGCTGCAGCTGCCGCATCGCGCGAGCGTCGCGTTGGCCCTTGGCAGCCTCCGCGCGAAGCTCGCCGCGCAGCTGCTCCTCGGACGCACGCAGCGAGTCGAGCGACGCCTCCAGCCGGACAGCCTGGGCCCGCTCGGACGCGAGCGCTTCGTTCGCATACTCGAGCTGCCGCTGCAGCGAGCCCAGCTCCTGGTGCAGCCAGTTCTGACCCGGCCCGGGCTCGAAGCTGCTGTCAAGGTTGACGTCCGCGGACGGCTCTGGCGGCGGCTCGCTGGCGAGAGGTTTGATCCCGGCGTCGCACTCGGCGTCCTGGCGGTTGACACACCTCTCCGTGAGCCGGGCTGGGCCGCCGCCCTTGATGCCGGCCGCGTCGCTCACGCCCAGGATGGACAACCACTCGCTATACGTGAAGGCCTCCTCGTCGTCGTCGACGTCGGGCTCGAGGCGCACAACCATGGCGCCCGTCGGGGGGGGCACAACCATGGGCCGTTGCAGCTTGCAGGTTGGGCGGGCGTGGGAACAAAGAATTTTGAAGAACGCTCGGCAGTTCACGACGATGCAGCCCCGCAAGCGGCAGGTGGTGGGGGCGCGGTTGCGGAAATGGGCAGGGACGTCGGTTGATGCGATACTCGAGGCGACCATGTCCGTGGCGCGGGAGAGGCTCCACGAGCCAGCTCGCGACGCCGGAGCATCTCTGACGCGCTCGACTTAGTCTGGGCATGGGCACGCAAAAATCTTGTATCAGGGCTTCATACCCGGTAGGAATTCCTACTGTTGTGGCCTAAAGTCTGCGCAGGTTGTGGGGGACACGATCCCGGCGTGAACACGACTAACTGACGGATCCGCTCCTGACAGTCGCACGCGCCGCGCTGCGGCGCGTGCGACTGTCTTTGTTTGATTTAAAAAGTCGAATCAGAGCGCCGTCGGCGTTGCCCCCGATTTTGTCCCACGGACCTCCCCTCCGGCACCGCTCCACGGGACGCACGCCGGCGAAGCACCATCAAGCTGCTGTACGGCCCCGGCATCGCCTTCCCAGGCTTAGCTAGCTAGACTGAGAGGTATTGTGGACATGGTTGGTCTCTACAATATATACACTGACACTGAACCTCCCAGAGCTCGTCCCGGTCCGTCACGGCCATCCTCGGCCTCCGGAGGGCCCACGGCCGCGGCGCGGTGCGGCGGCGTCACAAATCCGACGGCAGAGCACCGGGACGCGGTCGGGCGATCTGAGGCCCGACTAGGCGTATGCATTGCCCATCCAGGGCTATCACCTATACCTATCAACAGGCGCCTGCGGCGCCATGCTCAGGAGCAGGAGCTGCTGCTCCAACCTGTTCACAGTAGGTGAACCTCCAAGAACTCTCTCTTCGTCTCTCAGACCACTCCATGCTAACCCGCTCCCTGCTGGCGCAGGCCCGCAGGGCGGCGAGCACTCTGGCCACGGAGCCTGGCCGCACGCTCTTTGTCTCGGGCTCGACGCCTCGCCTCGTCGTGCGCACCAACATGGAGACGTACCTGGCCAGCGTGATGGCGTCCCAGGCGGGAGGCGGCGAGGTGGACGTGAGCGGATGGGCCGGCTCCGACCCGACGGGCGACCTCCGAGTCGTGGCGGCGTGCGACGCAGCGGGCGGCGGCGTCACGACCGTGAGCGTGCCCGCCTCTTTCAACATCGAGGTGGCGATGGGTGGAGCGTGCGACGTGGAGGTGGATGGCTGGATTGAGGGCACGGTCGCGGTGGCAGTGTCGCGGGGATCGATCGTCGTCAACACGGTGCGCGGACTCCTCACGACACTCTCCACGGGCGAGGGGCAGGTGCGCGTCAAGCACATCGAGGGCAACCTCCGCGTCCTCGCCGGCGGCGCTGGCGGCGTCGAGCTCGGAAAGGTGATGGGCGAGGAGGTGGAGGTTGCGTCGGAGGGAGTGGTGCAGTGCCGCGCCCTCTACTCGAAGCGGCTCGACCTCGCCGCCGCCGGCGGCGTGCGCGCCTCTGTCCTCGGCTCCGAGGCGGGCGAGCTCCGCCTCTCGGGAGGCTGCTCTGCAATCGACTCGAGCGAGGGCGACCTGTCTGTGCGGCTTGGCGGCGCCGCGTCGCTCGACGTGCAGGCGGCGGAGGGCCTCCGCCGCCTCTGCGTGAGCCGTGACGCGCCTACCCCCGACCAGCCAGCCGCCGCCGACGACGCCGCCGCCGACGCCGCCGACGTCGTCGTTCATTTTCCAGAGGCGTTTGGCGCGCTGCGAGCAGACCTCTGCGGCGCGAGCGTGGAGATCGACCCTCGCCTCTCGCCGCAGCCGCCCGCGCCGCCGGCCGCGGGTGCGGGACCGGCCCACTGGACAGGCTCGCTCGGCGCGGGCGACGCGGCGGAGAGCGACGCGCACGAGCGGTGGCTCGCCGGCCGGACAGAGCGAAAGATGGACCGGTCACCGGGCGGGGTCGAGATGTTCCGCGAGGGCAGCGGCGGCGGCGGCGGCGGCGGCGGCGGCGGCGGCGTGTGCGAGCTCACCGTCGCCGCACCGGCGAGCACCGTCCGCGTCGACGTGCAGAGCTGGTTCGAGCAGCGGATGAAGACGGCGATGAGTGGTGGCGCTGGGAGTGGCGAGGCGCCGAGCCTCAGGGAGCGGCGACCGCAGCCCTACCGCTAAGTCAGGAGCCCGCGCGGCATTTGATAGTGCTTGGGGAGAAAAAGTAGGACTCGAGGTCTTTACACGAGAGCGCCACACTCGCGCCAACACACAGAGCTACCACTGAGCGACCGAGGGGCAGAGGTCGTTGACGTTGTGCGAACCTCCCGTAGCCGTACCTAACTATCGTGCCGGATGCGCCGCTCGCCACTCTCGGATCATCCGGCGCAGCATGTGGTGCGGGGAGAGGCCCATATGCTCAAGCTCACCGCCAGTCATCGGGCTCGTCGACTTGGTCGCGAGCCAGCGCTCGATCGCCGACCGCTCGTCAGCATGCCCGTCCGCATGCCCGTCCGCCGCCATCACCGGGTCGCTCATCACCTCGGTTGTGATCGGGCAGATGAAGTCGGCTGGTGGCTCCTCCTCCTCCACCGAAGGCGGCCTCTCTGCAGCCAAAGAGGACGACGCTTGCTCCTCCGCCGCCCGCCTCTCCTCCTCCAGCCTCGCGCTCTCCTCGAGCGCCGCCGCCAGCTCCGCCTCCTCTCCCGTCGCCAGCGCTGCCTCATCCTCGGGCTCCCGCGACGGCCCAGCGCCGCCCCCGCCGCCCTTCCCCCTCTTCTTCTTCTTCTTCTTGCCCTTCTTGCTCTCCCTGTCGCGCCCCCCCGCCTCCTTTTCCGCCTCCTCCTCCGCCAGCAGCGCCTCGGCATGCCGCGTCGCCTCCGCCTCTGCCACCGCTCTCACCGCCTCCCTCGCCGCTGCCTCGGCCGCCGCCTCCGCCGCCGCATGTTCCTCGAGGGCGCGCACGCACTCGGCGTGGCCCCTCTCCTTTGCCCACTGCAGCGCTGTCTTGCCGTTCTCACAGCGCAGTGCCGTGTCCGCGCCCGCCCGCAGCAGGCGGAGCACGATGGCGGGCTGGCCTTGGCTGGCGGCGAGCATCAGCGCGGCAAAGCCGCCGTTGCCCTGCTTGTTGATCTCCGCCCCGTGCTGCATCAGCAAATCGACCACGCGCTCGTGGCCGTTGGCGGCGGCGGTCATCAGCGCGGCGATGCCGCCGTTGTTCTGCTTGTTGATCTCCGCGCCGCGCTGCAGCAGCAGATCGACCACCCGCTCCTTGCCGTTGGCGGCGGCGAGTAGCAGCGCGGTGCTGCCCATGCTGTCCTGCAAATCGATCTCCGCGCCGCGCTGAGCAGCAGCTCGACCACTCGCTCGTGGCCGCGGCGGGCGGCGAATATCAGCGCGGTGATGCAGCTCACATCGCTGTCGCGTTGACCCGCACCGCCGCTGTCGAGCCACGCCAGCAGCGCCGCCTCGTCGCCTTGGAGAGCCGCGTCCATCGCCTCTTTGCGAAGGCTGCCCAGCGAGCCGGAAGAGGCCGCCGCACTCCCTCCCGCCACCGCTTCGCCCGAGGAAGCGCCGCCCGCGCCGCCCGCCGCCGCCTCGCGCTGGCCCGCAGTCACCTCCGCGATGTGCTGCCGGAAGGCCTCGACGCACGCGCTGTGGCCGTTCTCCTTGGCCAGCTGCAGCGCGGACTTGCCGTTCCCAGAGCGCAACTTTGTATCCGCGCCCGCCTGCAACAGGCGGAGCACGACGGCGGGATGGGCGGAGACGGCGGCGAGCATCAGCGCGGTGGCGCCGACGCTGTTCTGCAGGTTGACCTCCGCGTCGTGCCGTATCAGCAAGTCGACCAACCGCTCGTGGCCGCTGGCGGCGGCGTACATCAGCGCGGTGCCACCGTTGCTGTCCTGCAAGTTGATCTCCGCCCTGTGCTGCAACAGCACGTCGACCACCCGCTCGTGGACTAGCTTGGCGGCAGCCATCAGCGCGGTGTTGCCGTTGCTGTCCTGCAAGTTTATCTCCGCGCCGTGCTGCAGCAGCAGGTCGACCACCCGCTCGTGGCCGTAGGAGGCGGCGCTCATCAGCGCGGTGGTGCCGTCGCTGTCCTGCAGGTTGGCATTCGCGCCGTGCTGCAACAGCAGCTCGACCGCCCGCTCGTGGTCGTAGCGGGCGGCGCACATCAGCGCGGTGTCGCCTTTGCTGCTCTGCTTGTCGATCTCCGCGCCGCGCTGCAGCAGCAAGTCGATTACCCGCTCGTGGCCGCTGTTAGCGGTAAGCATCAGCGCGGTGACGCCGCTCACTTCGTCTATCACACGAGTCGCGTTGACCCGCCCGCCGCTGTCAAGCCACGCCGAAAGCGCCGCTTCGTCGCCTTGCTCAGCCGCATTCCCAACCGCTTGGGGAAGTCTTCCCACTTTGCCGGTCTCCGCTGCCTCCACGATGGCAGCTCCGGCAACCCCCATCTCTGGCAACTCCGGCGGCGAAGCGGCACCGGCGCCGGTGCCGGCACTGCCGAGCGTATGTGTGTGAGCGGCAGGCTCGAGAAAAAGAATTTTAGCATTAAGTCCCTCGCACAACACTGGGCACGGGACTGGCGCGCACTGGCACTAACACAGGAAAGAACGCCGCGCGGCGCGGCCCGAGATCGCGCACCTCGGCATATCTCGGCGAGAGGTGGATGGGTTGGGAGCGAGGGGGCGGAAGTGTTCAGTGCGGTAGATGGTGAGCTCGGGGCGCGTGAGCCGGACTTGGGAGCCGGACCACCCCCGTTCTTAACCTGCGTTGTTGAGCCAGGACTCAACATACCCGGGCTTTCAATCCCGCACTGTCACTCCCCTTTCTCCCGGCCGGCGTGGACGGCGAGCGGAACTACCTCTTCTACTCGATCGCAGGTGAGAAGGGCATTGCGGTGGGGGAGCTTCGCTGCCAGCACGCACCTACGAGCGCCGCCGCGGCCGCCCTTGCCCCCACCGGGGCGCTGCAGCTCGCGCTGCACAACACGAGCTGCGACTTTGTGCGTCGAGGCCGCGGTTACTCGGCCGACTGCTTCCCCGCGGCGCGACCGGCCGCCCCCCGCTCCTCAATTCTGGTCGTCGCCACGGGTCGGAGCAGCACGTCGCACGTCGCGTGGCTACTGAGGGAAGTGGGCTTCAACATCAGCCATGACAACCCGCCGCTACTCAGCGACGGTGCGGTCAGTTGGCCGCAGACGTTCAGTAGAGAGCCGACTGCGCCCATCGCGACTGCCGACAACACGTCCGGACGCCCGTCACCGTCGAGCGGATGCCCATACCCGTCCTGGACGTGGCGGCGCTTGGCCGAGCAGACGCACGACGACCGCCGATTCGACCACGTGCTCCATATGATTCGCGAGCCACTCCGCACGATCCGATCGCGCTACAACCATGGCAATGTCGCCGCCTTTGGCCACACGTCCGAGTGCAACACGCAGATCTCGGTGAACTCGAGTCTAAGTGAGAAACAAAAGAACCTGCAGAAAACGCTGCAGCACTACGTCCTGTGGCACACGTTCGGTGAAGTGATCTCGGAAAAGAGCCTGCGCGCGGAGGATACGACGGATCTGGGACGCCTCACGGAGACCATCGACAGCTTGTCACAGTTGACGGGTCGGCCTGTTCAGGTCAGCCAGTCGATGCTACAAGCCTTGCTGACGGACCGCAACCATTCGAACAGCGCGAAGACCCAGAAGAAGCATGCGGTGACTTGGGCGATGTTGGCGGCCATCGACCCGCCGTTTACGACCATGTGCCAGATGCTGGCGCTACGACACGGCTACTACATCCCCGAGAGTGAGCTGGTTCCCGACCTGCAAGATGCCCAGCACCACCCACAGCAGCACTGCGCGCTTGATGAGCAGGGCCGGTTTGGGTGCTGGCTGCAACGGATGGAGGAGTGACATCTTACACGACAAAAAACAGGATCATTTTACGTAACACGGGCACGTACGAGGGTAGTACAGCGACGAGAGCACTCGATGACGATTCTCGCGTCGGAGTGCGCGCCAGGGGAGGGCCAACGGCTCGCTCACATCTCAACCGCCCGGCATTGCGATCGGCGCGGCATGCCACGCCATCGGCGGAGTTGAGCCAATCAAAGACGGCCTTGCCGGTCAAGCAGGGCGTCCCGTGTGAGTGGGTTTGGCTACATGGGGGCACGAGAGGGGGCGCCCACGCCCAGACATCGAGCTCAAACTCGACTGCGATCAAGTTGTTGGCGGCGCCAAGCAGGCGCGAGCCGCTCGAATCGTCCCCTCGCACGGCGTCCAGCTCGCTCTCTACGCGGCGCTGCAGCCGTGCTGCTCCGGGCACGGCCTCCAAACGGGCGATCCGATCGAGGAGCGCGACCGCCTGTGCCTCGAGGTCGCTGACGGCGGGAGCCCGGCCGAGGGAGAGAGCAGCCATATATATTTCTCCTGAGCTTGTCGCGAGCGTGTCGCTCTGCCGTTTTTCACGCGTCGAGAAGAAACCATGGTGGGGCGCGCGCGAGGTGCGTGAAGCATCCTGCCGCTTCCCACTCGTCAACAACCCTCGCTCTCTCTCTCCTTCCACACCTGCTTCGCGGGAGAGCGGCGCTGCGTGCCGATTAGGGCTGCCATGCTCGGACGCTGTCTCTACACTCTAGTGCCCTAAGCCAACTTTCATTTCTCTTCATACTTTATGTGGGTGTCACGTGCGGAGAGTTGGGCGTTTCCAAGATAGTTTCCTTCCATTCCCCTCTCATGAGTGTTCTGGACGCGGGACGCGCGTGCGGTCTGCGGTCTGAGCTGCCTCCGGTCTCCCGACCCGCGACTGGCCGCACAACCCACAAGCAAGTCTATCGAGGGTCGTACGGCGCGGCGGTGTCATGCATGTGAATTCATGTGTGTGCATGTGTGTGTGCATGTGTGCATTTGTGTGCATGTGTGCATGTGTGTGTGCATGTGTGCATGTGTGCATGTGTGTGTGTGTGTGTGTGTGTGTGTGTGTGACGAGAGTGACAGCGCCAGACAGGTAGTCACGATCCGGACAAAAGGAGCGGAACGCCGAGTCGCGAGGTGATTTAGGCTTAGCCAAATGGTGGAAGTTGGCACGCACATTTGCATCCTCCGGAGCTGGTGCCGCAGACCGGATTTGCAGGGAATCCTGCTTGTGCTTCGCAGTTGTTGTCTGTTACATGCGGAGTTCCGCCGATGCACTCGCATGAGCACGTGCCTTTGAACTTTGCCTCGGCGCCGCAAGAGATTCTGCCGGGGGTGCACGAGGGGTACAAGCCTTCCGGCATACTGCTGGTGCCCTTCATCTTGTCGGCGCACAAACACTCCTGTACGCACTGCTGCTCTGCCCCAAGCGTGTCCGCTGACAAGGTGCCCTGTGTTACGCCGCTGCAGTCGAATATGTCGGAGATGTCATGGGCCAGACTCTTGCAAGCCTCCACACAGCATTTCGCCAGCCCAACAGGGTCACGTTCGCCCTCCTGGTTGTAGAGGTCTGGCCGCTCCTCGGAAGTGCACCTTTTATGACCTTCCCACTTCCATAGCGCATCCATGGCGCGATCCGTCGTGTCAAACCAAGTATCAAAGTGATCTTCCGCCTGGCCCTCGAATGCGCCGAGATTTGTGCCCTCGGTGCGTCGAGATTCGTTCCTCATCTCCCTCAACATCTTCTTGGCGCCATCCCTCACATCCTGCTTTTCTTCACGGCTCAGGTTACCAAATCGGTTGACTAGGCTCTGCTTCGCCCATTTTGCAAGACTAGGCGGCGGTTTTAGGTGATACTCTGAGTATCCAAACACTGTGCCGTTTGGCATTGTGCCGGGCATCGCTCCAGTAGTCAGCCACCACCCCCCTGTGTAAGACGAGACCCACGCGATCGCGCTTGAAGTCGCATCCAACGCGGCCGTGGTAAAGCCGGTCACGGCATCCATCACGGCCGTGCCGAAGGCGCCGACGACCTCCCCTGCCTTTTGAGCAACCCAGACGATTGCGTCACCAACGGCCTGCGCCGCTGCCGTGACCTTTTCCACAACATACTTCAGCGCTTCAGAGTGAACGTCGAGGTCGAACGAATAAGTCGGCAAACGGGCGGGCGGTATGTGCGTGTCGGACTCCGAGCTTGAAACGGCTTTTTCGCACCCAATGTCGAATTCGAATCCAATCGAGACAAACAACAACTTCCCCAGGTCGAGTTGGAACCTAGAGCTGAACTTCATGCACCTGTCGCCCGATTTCACCACCTTGAAGCCAACCGAAACAACCGTGCCGTTGCCAGTTTGACCCTCCAAAAAGTCTGTAATCTTCTTCGTCGTGCCCTTACCAATCAGGCCGTCAACGACACCACTAAATAAATCGACGATAGGACCCAGTATCGATTTGAGAATGTCACGTAGGTTTAGAGCGTTTGCGAGTACGTACAGGCCAGGTTCCAACGTCCTCGGCGTGCTGGTATCAACATCGGTTGCACGAAAGTCCACTCCGGAAAAGGCGCCATTGATGTCCATCAGAGTGATCGAGAACTTAGGGAGCACCTTGCAAGCGGGCGATCCGGTCCATTCACCAAAGCACGCCTCCTTCAAGTTGATGCTAAGCACACTCTCCAGCTTGATGGCAAAAGTCAATCCCCAAATGTTCTCAGCGTTGTAGCTGACTATTCCGTTTTCGTCCGTGAGCTGCGGGTCCTTGTCTAAGTTTGCATAGCAGGTCTCGCTGCTTTTGCAAGCATTTGGATTCGTAACGTCGCACGCCGCTCCGCAGATCCGATTCGCAATCATGATATCGGAAGCGTCTCCGCATCGTGTGGTGCTTCCACAGGACCTCGAGTCCGTCACTGCGTTGTTCTGGTAGATTCCGAGCATAAGCTCCATCTTGCCTTCAAATTTCAACACATCGCAGATGCTTTTGTCTCCGTCGCCTTTGCCACACAGCGGCGCAAACGGGCTGTTTTCGAGCGCGAGCGCCATACCGATGTTGCCTCGAACAGCTGCATTGACTACGCGGAACCCGGGGTATCTTGTATCGCTGCTGTACTTGGCGCTGGAGTAGTAGAGCTCAACCGTTGTGGCGAGATCACCGGTCAGTGAGACTCCCAAAGAAACTCCTGACGTCTCCGCGGAGTCCCCTCCTACGACCCCCCCGGCAGCCAATGAGCCGAGCCCTGCAGTTGCGAGATCTGCCGCTTCACTGCTCAGAATGCACTTCAAGAAGTTGGGATCGATTGCAACTCCCAAGGTCGGCAGCGCGATATCTTTGTTGATCCAGCAGCCCGCATAGGCGATGCAAATCGTGAAATTACCCGGATCTTGAATGGTAAGCTTTGGGCAGAAAGCCTTTATGGTCGCGTCGGTCAACAATTGTGGCATCTGCACGCCGGCAAAACCAAACGTCTCTTCATCATGCAGCTGAATGAGGCTGCAGCCCACTGCCGCCAACTCCTTGTGCTTGTCTTTGTCTTTGATATCCTTCCCTGTCAGCGACCCGGCGCACAGCTTCATCTTGGACCAGCCGTGTCCTTCTAAGTTCCATAGGTAGTCGAAGACTTTCTCGATGCCGAGTCCCACGTAGTTGCGGACACTGGCACTGGATTCCAAGGCGTAGGTTGAGTTGAGATAGCCGAACAGCAGGTCGTTCAGCCAATATTTGACGGCCTTGCCGGTCAAACAGGGCTCTCCGTGTGTCACTTCCTTAAAGTCCGCATATGCCTTACGGTCCTTGAGATCCAGACGCTTCTCGTAGCTGCCCCCCCCTCCTCCCTCCTGCAGGAAATTCTGGCAGCGAGGCTTGTATGGCTTCTCACACTTTTGCAGCCCCTCCTTGCCCATCTTGCACTCGAGCGAACCACCCCGCCACAGTGTCACGCCTCCGTCCGGTATTGGAGGTGGATCCGAAAGGCAAACCTTGACGGGGGTGTCCGCTCCGAGCTCGTTGTTCGGATCCAGCAGCCTGATGTCTTCGCAGAACTGGGCCAGGTTGGGGAAGAGAGGCACCGCCGTGTCGTTGCTCCCAAGGTCCAGGGCTCGGGCCCAGACCGCCTGCTGGCCGTCGGGGCAGGTGTTGCAGGGCCCGACCCTGTGTTCCGCAAGATCTCTCCACAGATTACCCTCCACAGCACGGTTCATCGCGCCTGGGTAGAGGGTGAAGCTGGTTGTGTTGGTGTCGCACGGCGGTGGCGGCGGTGCAGGCGGCGGCGGCGGTGGCGGCGCGGGCGGCGGCGGCGGCGCGGGCGGCGGTGGTGCGTGGTGGTGGCGGGGATGGCAATGTCCTGACCCACAGACTCCCGCAATAACGCTGACGCAAACGAGTAGGCAGCAGAGAACTGAGGGCAGTAGGCAGCAGAATTGGACAGCAACGCGTGGTCGGCCGCTGCCCTTTGTTGACTCCGTTGGCGGCACTGATTCCGGCAGCTTGTCCGGCAGAATCTCGTCCGGAGATACGGGCGGCTCGGCGCGGGACCTATCCATCATCGCACCCCACGTGTGTCGCAAAGCGCCCGCCCTACGGCCACAATTCGACACAATTGCAATTCGCTCGGCATTCGCTCAGGTGCTGCGTTGCGTTTCTTCAAAGGGGCAGAGGACGCCGGATTCTGGTGATGCGTGCACGCTTCGGACGCTTCATCCTGATGGCGTGCACGCATCATCCTGAGTTGGAGTGAGTGCTCGCTGTCGTTCGGTGATAGCCCACCTCCACTGGCGAGAGCGTCCTGGGGTGACGGTCAGCTTCGATCGATCCGCGGGGTGGCTGGGCGAATCGAAGGGCCCTCCGCTAGGCTGCAGCCGCCCGTCGCTCTCCCCTCCCGACGGCCGTAAGCGTACCCACCTCCCGGTCGCCTCCTCAGTCGGGAGCACGCCTTGGCCCATGTCCCTCTTGCGGCTAGCTGCCGTTGGGCCGAATCGATCGAGTCGCCTTTGTAGGGTGGAGTCCTCTTCTGTGGCGGGCGCCCACGGCAGTGGCTGGGACACCCCTTGGCCAGGTCCGCCCGTCTCGAGGCGTCTCTCCTCGCCTCCTCCAAACCTCCGGCTGGGCAGCCGCTCGCTGTGGCTCCCCTCCGTTGGATCTCCGAGGCCGCCTCGCCCAGGCACTCGACTGCCGGACGTCGCTTCGCTTGTCAAGCGGTAGGCCCATCCCACTCGTCCCGGCCTATCGTCGCGCGACCCTGCAAGTCCCCCGACCGCTTGGTCCGACTGCTAAGGTGCACTCCCTGCCTCGAGCCCCCCCTTGCCAAAGCTTCCGCCCGAAGTATCAACACCCTCCACCGGATCGACCGGCTGTGGCACGGGAATCCTAGGGCACACCGTGACACCGACACTTAAGGGGGGGTGGCTCCACAGCGCGTTCTCCACAGCGCACCGTCTAACTTCCTCTGCGTCACCTCAAACAAACAAATTCGCGAAGATTTTCTTTCTTGTGGGTGTGCCGGTGATAGTACTAGCACGCGCCAGTTCGCACCTGTGTCGAGCCTGTCTGTTCCGAATGAGTTGTTTTCTGTTGCGCCTCGCAGCTGGCGCCTGCCTGGAACTGGACAGGGCCGTCCGGAGTGCCCCTACTCTAGCGCTATCGTGGTGGGTCCGCGGCTTCGTCTTGAGTACTGAGAGCAGCTCGGGCCGAGCTTGGATGCCGTACATCGCTTCCTCGGGCCAGGAGTTCCGACTCGACGGCCCTCAGCCTCGCCGGCGCTCTGACGCCTCTGTCGGTCTTCTTCTCGCGATAGCTCTCATCATCTGTGTCGGCGGTGCCTATCTCGGTATGCGCATGGTCTCAGGATCGTACTCACAGGGAGCCTGAACGCTTCCGAGCCAGCATGGTCGACAACGCGAGGATAGAATCCACTACTACCACCACCACATCCGCCTCCGCCGCCGCCTCGTCCGCGACTGCCACCGTAGATGCCGAGGCCGCAGACGGCCGGCTTTTTGCGCTGCAGCCGGAGCTGCTGCACATGGCACTGCTGCTTCTACCACCCGCGGCGCTCTGCTCCTTCGCCTGCTGCTGCCGGGCTGCCGAGGCGGCCAGCAACGAGGCGGCGAGGGAGCGCTGCGCGGCGTGCGGCGTCGATCGCAAGGGCGCGTGGGCGGCCAGGCAGTCGTGGCGCGTGCAGCTGGCTGGGCGGCGCTTCGGCCGCCCTCACCTCGGCCCGCGCTGCCAGGTCGCCTCGTCGTCGGCGCACCGCACGCGGCGCGCCGGCAGCGCCGCGTCGCTCTTCGCCGCTCCGACAGCGGTCCTGAGCCTCTGCGCGCCGGAGGAGCGAGCCGCCTTCTTTGGCTCCGCCGCAGAGCCGCACCCGCTGGTCGCCGTCTGCGACGCGGGCAGGCGCTCCGTCGCCTTTGTGTCGCTGCGCCCGGACGGCGCGCGGCTCGAGCGGTCTGCTCCGGTGGACGGCGCCCCGTGCGGCATCTGTTCCGCCCCGTGGGGCGGAGAGCCGGCCTTCGCCGTCACGGTGCAGGGCGAGGACGAGACTGGCCAGCCTCTGCCGGGCGTGGCGAACCCGTCCCACCGCGTCGTTCTGGTCGGCCTGCGCAGCGGTCGAGTGACCCCCGCCGGAGGCAACGACGGCTCGGCCATGCTCTCGTACCCGAACGGGCTGTGCGCGCTGCCGCCGACGTGGCACGCGTGGAGCGCCGCCCCGCGGCTTGACCGGCCCGCCCGGCTGCTCGCCTGTACCGACTGGAACCACTCTCGGGTGGTGCTGTGGGGAGTGGACGACCCTGCCGGCGCCGCGCGCTACCTCGCCCGCGGAGACGGGGGCGGCGGAATAGACGCGGGCGGGTTCAGCCGCCCGTCGGACATAGTGCGCTTCGAGCTCGGCGGCGGCGGCGGCGGTGGCGGCGGCGGCGGCGTCGCCGACCACTTCCTCGCGGTCGCCGACTACTACAGCAATCAGGTGCATTTCTTCGCGGCCGGCTCGAACCGCGGCGAGGTTGCGCCGTGCGGCTGCCTGCGCCAGGCGAGACGCGGCCGGCCGCTCGATCGTCCTTCGGGCGTCGCCGTGCTCCGTCCCCCGGAGTGCACCTCGAGCGGCGTCTTCTTGCTCGTCGCCGAGGCGGGGGCGATGTGCGTCTCCGTCTTCCGCGTGGCGCGGCGCGACGGCGGCGAGCCGGTGTGCACGCACGTCGCCTCGCTGTGCGACGAGCTGCTTGGCACCGGAAGGCACCAGCCTGAGCTCGGGCTCTGGTCGTGGCTCAGTGTCGCGTGTTCGCGCGCGGGAGACATTTGGGTGACTGACGCGGACAACGGGTGTGTCTACCTCGTGTGACTGCTGCCGTTCGTCTTTTCGGCGGCAGTGGCAGCGGGGCGGCAGCGGCATAGCGGCGGTGCGCGGAGGCGGTGGCGGGCCGCTCGCCGCGAAAGTGCTCTCTACCGAAGTGGCATGGAAGTCAGGGAGGGACCTCACTGTCTGGCCTCTAGATGTCCTTCTCCCCTGCTCCCCAGCCGCAGCCCTAGCTGGCCTGCCGCTGCGTCGCCGTCGCGGTGTGTAGCCCCCATCGTTGGGACTAGTGTCGCTCTCCCTGAACTTCTGCATGTTAATACTTTTAAGTCCTCTCTCCTTTTTGTGGCCTCACTTGTGTAGGGTGGAAGGGGGGGGGGGTGAGTTTACAGTTTTGGAGAGTGCGGGGGGGGGGCGACCACCCCAGCCACGCTCTCCACCCCCGAATGTGGCCGGTTTTAGGTTTTACAGCGCAGGGCACTGCCACTCACTGGACACTGCAAAACGTTATGATTCTGGTCGTTATACGTTAATTGTTGTCAGTGTGCGGAGCAGCCCGCAGCATGCAGCACCGCCACACTGTGCCAGTTACACAATTACCAGCCCGCTCTCTCGGCCGGCATGCCGGGGTCACTCTCAGTGTCTCATCAGACCTCCCCACACACCGCAAGAGAGTTCATCACGCCGTGGCCACAGACGCTCACAGGAAGGAGTACTTGACCTTGTTGCCCTCGGGCAGCGAGAACTGCTGCACCGGGCCCGACGGGCCCGCAAAGGCGCCCGCCACCGACGCGACCTGCTCGTCGGGCAGCGCGTCCGCCTCCGGCTCGTCCGCGCCGAGCGTGAGCTCGTCGAGCAGCTCCTCGAGGCCGACATCGGGGAAGTCGTCGTCCTCCGCCTCCTCGCCCTCGCCGTCGGCGTCGCCGCCGCTCGCCGCGCCCGAGGCCGCCGCCTGCGCCGCCGCCGCCGCCGCGCGCCGGTCGGCCTCCGGGTCGCGGTAGAGGTTGATCTGGGCACGCATCTCCGGGTCCTCCTCGAGATCCTGCATGAACTCCTCGTACTCGTGCTCGTACTGCGACGTGTCGAGCTTACGGCCGCGCTGCGCCGTCCACTCGGACTCCTCCTGCTCCTTGGCGAGCGACTGCAGCTTCCACGCGCGCCGGCGCGGCTTCCTCCGCCGCTCGGAGTAGCTCTTCTTGACGAGCAGTACCTAATCAGTCATTCACACCTCACTCCTCATTCACAACTAGTGATACCTCATCCTTCCTGACGAGCAGCACCTCGGGCAGCTGGCCACACTCGTGCTCGGACAGCTCGCTCGGCAGCGTGGACCCGCTGACCGCGTAGCCCCACACAAAGTCGCCCACGCGAAGCACGTTGCCGAGGTGCGTCAGCGTGCGCACCGTCGTGTCGTTTGCTCCGAAGTCGTCGCGCCGCGCGACAGTCACCTCGGCGAGGCAAGTCGGCTCGCGCGAGGGCCCGTCAACCGGCGCGTCGCTCGAGGAGCGCTTCTTCTTCTTGCCGCCGCCGCCGCCGCCGCCGCCGCCGCCGCCGCCGCCGCCGCCGCCGCCGCGCTGCCGCTCGCGCGGCGCCTCGATCTCGATGTCGAGCACGACGAACTCGGCCAGGCAGGAGCGGGTGAGGGCGGACGCGAACTGCTTCTTCCAAAATGTGAGCGGGAGCAGCTCGGCGGTGCGCATCGTCTTTGGGTCGATGAGGTGGACGATGTTGGACACCTGTGCACCGACCCGCCCCGCTCATCGAGGGCTAGCTCACGGACCATCTCGCCATATCTCGCCATATCTCGCCATATCTCCCGAGGGCTAGCTCATAGGCCGCGTTCTCTCCCCACAGGGCCGAGGGGGTGGCGCGGCGCTGGTCACGCGCACAGCCGTCGGGTGGGCTGACCCTCTACCGCAGGCTCGCCTCGGGGCGGTGCCCATATCTCGCCATATCTCGCCATATCTCGCCATATCTCGCCATATCTCCCCAGCCGGGACGCGCCTTGTTGCAAAGCATGAAGCGCGGAACCTGCCCCACCGTCGCCGCCGTGCTCGCCGGCAGCCAGAGCGCGTCGCCGCGGCAGATTGGCAGCAGCTCCACCGAGTAGGTGAACTTGTACCGCCCCTTCCCCGTGTGCGTGTCGGTCGAGATGAGCTGCTTGGATGTCTTGTACCGGGTCGGCGCGACGCCCTGCAGGAAGGAGGTCATCTTCTCGGCGTGCGAGCGCGCCTCGTAGAAGAAGTCGAGCCCGTCGCGCCGCTCGACGATGTTGATCGCGTCCGTGTGCGCGCGGTGCTTGAGGATGAGCTGCTCGATCCAGAAGAACGTCCGCTTGTGCTCCACCTTTTGCCGAACCTACCGGCAGAGAGCGGCGCGCATTTGGAGGAGCGAGCGAGCGGAGGGAGGGGGGAGTGCGCCGGTTGGGCGCTGCGACGAGGGGGTGCGGTGCGAGGCGCGGTGGCCAAGTGCGGCTGGAAGCGCGGACACGGTGCGACTGGCGGCGCTGACAAGAGGCGGGGTTGCCGGCACCTGGCAGACGGCGACCCACGTGTCCTTGGCCTCTCGCCGCTGGCAGGTGCCGCACTGCTTGTTGCCGAGGACGTACTCCACCACGAAGGACTGCTGCAGCACCGCGCCCGCCACCACCTCCTGCTGCACCGTCAGCTTGAGCTTGATGCGACGCGAGTGAGGCTCGGTCCAAACATACGAGGCGTCGATGAGCCGGACCTGCGTCAGCCCGCGCGGCTTCTTGAGCAGCAGCGCGAGGAGCTCCTTGGACTCCATGTCCACCTCCGCCCAGCTGCCGTCCCGCCGCTCGAACCGGTTGCAGCCGCGGCACGTGTTTTGCTGGACCTGCTTCGATACTCCTGCGCCGATGTCGTAGCGCTCCTGGAGACAGTTGACGCACATATTGACCGCGTTCGGCTCGATCACGACGGCGCACTGGCAGCAGAGGATCTTGTGTGGCTGGTCCAGGATCATGGCCATGGTTGTGGCCTGGGCCAAGGTAGGGAGCGTGCCGCGATCTTCGTCCAGGGTGGCAGCAGCGACTGCGTGCCTCGTCGGCTGTGAAAAAATAACGCGGGGCCGAGCTGGGAATAGATTCGCCGCAAGCGGCGTGGAGCGGTTGAGCATCCCTCCGGGGGCCCCTCTGCGCCGGGGAGGCGTTGTTGGAGGCTAGGACGCAAGCGTCCGTCGCCCTTTTTCAAACTCGGGGCCCACTCCGCTACGCTCCGACCCGAATTTGCTGCGGCAAAAAACGACGTGGCTCGCAGGCTGACCCGGGGAAGCATTCACGCATCACGGGTTCGAGTCGTCAAACAAACATTAAGCAGCGGAGGTGTGCCGAGCGAGGGGGGCCGGGAGGCGGTAAGTCGTCGTCGCCCGGGGCCCGGCGCTGCTTGCAGCACCATGGCGATGGCGCTAAGTAAGAGGTTCCTCTTTTCCGCGCGCCCCCCGCAAGGCGCGCGATACTGAGGGAGGGTGTGTAGAGGATGTAGAGTGTAGAGCGCTGTAGAGCTGTAGAGATGTAGAGCGCTCTGGAGCGCTGTAGAGCTGTAGAGCTCTACATCCGCCGCGCGTGACGAGGCGCGTGCGTTGTAGAGCGATGTAGAGCGCGATTTTGCTGTAGTAAGAGTTTGTTGTAGAGGCTCTACAGCCAAACCGCCGGGAAGGCAGTGACTCAAAGTACACGTCGCTGTGAGCCTCGCACTCGCCCACCGGAAGGGGCTCCACCTCCAGCAACGACACAGTACGACTGACAGCAGTGATCCGGCGAACACCGGCGGTGAGTACCGGCACCATCGCACGGCACTCGCCTCTGCGGTGTTCGTGCGTCGCCCCCATCTCTCGGGGAGATGCCTGCTCTATTTATTAAAATAAATTCCCTCGCGCAACACTGGGCACGGGACTGGCGCGACAAAAAGAGAACAAGTGGGCAAAATCTCTGCTCATCGGTTCCGGTCTAATGGGACTCTATCGGCTATCGCTCGACAAGTCGACCTTCTTGGGCAGCAGCTGGTTCGACAGGTCAGCTCCGTGTCCTAGGCAGCCGGTGTCGCCCCCGCCCCAAGTAAAGACGGCCCCATCGCCGGTGAGGGCGAGGCTGTGGCGGGCTCCAGCCGACACAGCGACAACGCGCTGGTCAGCAAAGGCCTCGACCTTCTTTGGCAGCAGCTGCTGCTGCTCATCGCCGTGGCCCAGCTGGCCACAACCTCCCCAGCCCCAGCTCCAGACGGCGCTGTCGGCGGTGAGGGCGAGGCTGTGAGCCAATCCAGCAGACACTGCGAGGACACGCTGTTGAGCCAAAGCCTCGACCTTCTTCGGCAGCAGCTGGCGCTGCCCGCCGCCGTGGCCCAGCCAGCCTTCCCCTTCACCACCCCAGCTCCAGACGGCGCCGTCGGCGGTGAGGGCGAGGCTGTGGCGGTCTGCAGCCGACACAGCGACCACGCGCCGACCCGCAAAGGCCTCGACCCTTTTTGGCAGCAACTGGTCCTGCCGGTCGCCGTGGCCCAGCACGCCATCGTCTCCCCAGCCCCAGCTCCAGACGGCACCGTCGGCGGTGATGGCGAGGATGTGGCCGTCTGCAGCCGAGACAGCGACCACGCGCTGGCCTGCCAAAGCCTCGACCTTTTTCGGCAGCAGCTGGTTCTGCTGGTCGCCGTGGCCCGGCCGGCCAAAAGCTCCACTGCCCCAGCTCCACACGGCCCCGTCGGCGGTGATGGCAAAACTGTATGCAAGTCCCGCCGAGACCGCGACGACGCGCTGATCAGCCAAGGCCTCGACTTTCTTGGGCAGCAGCTGGCTCTGCTCGTCGCCGTGGCCCAACCGGCCATCGCCTCCCCGGCCCCAGCTCCAGGCGCTGCCGTCGGCGGTGAGGGCGAGGCTGTGGTAGGGTCCAACCGACACGCTCACGGCGCGCTCGCCGCCCAGCGTCGACGGGAGGCGGGTCGGCGTGTTGAGCCGCGTCACGCCCTCGCCGTGGCCGAGCCGCCCCTCTTGATCCGGATCTGCGCCGCACGACGAGAGCCGCCCCTCGCCGTCGATGAAGAGGCTGTGCCGAGCGCCTGCCGCCGCCCTCGCCGGCGGGTTGGACTCGCGCAGCAGCGCCGACAAGCACAGCCACCGCACGGCACAGCTCTCGCCCGCTGGCGGCGCCGGCAGCTCGAAGCCGCGCTCTTGCGCCCACAAGCGGATGCCTTCCTTCGCAAGCGAAGCGTGGAAGATGTGCGAGACGGCCGCAACGCGAGCGATGTCGGCGGGGTCGCAGCGAGAGACGACGCGCACGAGGAGCTCCGTGGGGAGGTCGAGGAGGCGGGTGGGTACCTCGCCCTCCGCTTCCACCCCTCCAGCAGGCCCCTCCTCGGCCCCATCTCCCGCGCTGCCCTCCCCTTGCGCGGGAGCGACGTCCGCCTCGTCCCGCTCGTACGCGATGCCGAACTCATTGGCGCGCTTCCGGTCCACGGGGTAGAGGCGGCGCTGGTAGAGGAGGACGAGGAAGACGAGGTCGTCCCGCAGGCAGGCGACGCGGTGGGCGGTCGGCATCGCGACCATCAGCGCGAAGGCGTCGTCGATGAAGGTGTTGAAGGCCTTGTACGCGAGGACGCGCCACGGCAGGTGGGCGACGCTCTTCATCTGGCGCGAGGGGGGGCGGGGGAGCTCTGCCTCGAAACGGCGTGTGTACTTCCTCGGCGACGGCAGAAGCGAGGGGGCTGGTCTGGCGCAGGCGGGGGCACGGGGAAGGGGGATGCCCTGGGAGGGACCGAGGCCTGGATAGGGCGGGGGGGGGTTGAGCAGCGAACCGCCTTGCGGCTGAAGAAGATCTGGGGATCTCGGGAGATCTCGGGCCATCTCGGGCCCTCTCGGCTCCTCTCGGCGCCTTGTAGTTGATGAAGAGCTGTGGCGTCATCGCGATGAAGCCGAAGAGGTAGATCGCGTCGGCCAGCGAGCCGAGCAGCCAGCTGTACCTGACAAGAGGGTGCAGAATCCAAAGGTGGGTGACTCGCCCCCTCGGAGGCGGGGCTGGCGGGAGGACGGCGGGGAAGCGGCGCGCCACGACGCGTGCGGGTAGTGGAGCAGCGCGTACAGCGCCCAGCCGACGACCAGCGGCGCGAGTCCCCACGTCAAGTGCCGCGTCGCAACCTCGTCGAACCGCTCCGTCGCCGCCTCGGCGCGCGCGCCCTCGCCGCCGGCGCCGGCGGCCGCGCCGCGCGCCCGCCGCCGCATCGCAACCACCTTGGTCAGCTTCCAAAGCTCGAGGGCGGTGGAGAAGGCGTAGGTAGCGAGGACGATCGAGTTGACGCCGTCGCCGTCGAGCAGGTAGAGGAAGATGACGAGCGTGGAGCCCGCGTTGAAGATGACGCCGCGCGAGGACAGGCCCCTCAGGTCCTCCCGCCCCTTCCAGAAGCCGACGTCGTTCCGGAAGGCGAGCGCGTCAAAGACGACGTGCAGCAGCCCGATCAGCTGCATCAGCGCGAAGCGGTAGAGGCGCTTCTCGGAGAGCAGCTCGCGTAGCTCGTCGAACTCGGCCTACAGGAAGGTTCAGAGCCAGGGTCAGGGAAGGGTCAGGGAAGGCACAGCTCGCGCAGCGCGTCAAACTGCCTCCATCCCGCTGGCCGCCTGCAGCGCGCCAAGCGCCGTGTGCAGCTGGCGCGTGGCGCGGTTAGTCTCTACTAGTCATGTTCTC